TGAACAGTGCAGCTACTGTTCTTCGAAATCGCATAATATCCGGATATCAATATCCGGATATCTCATAGGCAATATCCGGATATCAATATCCGGATATCCAGGTCCCCATATTCGGATATCAATATCCGGAAATTTATCGACCAAATATCTGGATATTTCGCGACAGAATGCAGTTTCTGCATTTCGCGAAGATATCCACCACAGGTCCAACTTTTACCAAATAAATGCGTTCAAGACTCCATTTTTAGGTCTATACAGGTTCATACACATGTTAGTTACTTGCTTAACCCATTTACATGCAAAGACACCACCTTTAAATCATTTAAACTCATGATCAAGGTTAGGCAACTCACCAAAGCTTCAAACTCAGAAATGAAAGGCTCATGGAGCTCACAACCAACTGCAAAGGTTCTGACTTGGTTCCAAAACGAAAATGCTCCACCAAAGGTTGGTTCTTGCACCAAAAGGTGACTCATTGGCACCACAAATGCCAAGCCAAAGGTGTACTCCCTCCACAAACATAGAGGCAGCAACCATAACCCCTCACACAGCAGCTCCAACTCAGCAAGAAGGTCTCCCACCCACTCCTAAGGCTCTATCTCACTCACACAAGGATGATTGGTGAAGGAAATGTGAAGAAAAGCTACAAAGAAGGTCAAGAAAATGGTGGAGAAGGCAAAGAGCAGCAGCCACCAGCAGCCCCTCACGTCCAAATGGCTGAGTATAAGCCTAGGTTTTAGTGCCAAGCATTATATATAAGCGGTTTAAGTCACTAACACACAGTATTAACTTTAATTGCTACGCTTAGCATTTTAATCCCAAACTCAGGATTCTTAACCTACTCAATTTTACAAGAATTATTATATTTTTCTTATATTTTTTGGAGCACCTTTCCGGTACACGCTTTTCATAGCCAGTACCAGTTTCTGGCACCAGTTCTCATTATTTTAACTTGAAACTCGTTTTACAAGTCCTACATATTATTCTAGTAATTATCATGTAATTTTTATAATTTTCCGGGATACTTTTTCGGTACGCATTTATACCGACTAGCAGAATCGGTATCTGCTCTTTTCGTCCGAAAAGCGACTTTCAGCATTATTAACCACTTACTACATTTATTTAAGCCTCATGATAATTATTAGGGTCAATTATAGAATTATTTCCTAATTCCACATAATTAATTAATTAATTAACTTCCTTAATTAACGGTGCGGGTTCTTACATGTTTCACGTGTCTCAGTTTCAGAAGTACTTAGCAGATCCTTCGCACGTGGTGCAACCTGATGATGTGGAGGTTCGGGAGAACCTAAGGACTCCTGTCGGACCACTCAAGATTCTCGATCGTGGCGAGAAGCAGCTGAGGAGCAAGATCATTCTGATGGTCAAAGTACAGTGGACTGGAAGAACTCCTGAGGAGTGTACTTGGGAGCGTGAGGACGAGCTTCTCCGACATTACCCCGAGTTTCGAGACAGGTATGTTTCTGATTTTGAGGACAAAATCCTAAAAAGGTGGGGTGAATGTAAGAACTTGCACCGTTAATTAAGGAAATTAATTAATTATATATGAGAATTAGAAAATAATTCTGTAATTGACCCTAATAATTATTATGAGGCTTAAATAAGTATGATTAGTGATTAAGAATGCTGAAAGTCGCTTTTTGGAAGAAAAGTGCAGATATCGGTTCTGCTAGTCGGTATAAATGCATACCGATAGAGTATCCCGAAAAATTATAATAAGTGCATGAATATTCCTAGAATAATATATAGGACTTGTAAAATGAGTTTCAAGTTGAAATAATGAGAACTGGTGCCAGAAACTGATACTGGCTATGAAAAGCGCGTACTGGAAAGGTGCTGCGAAAAATATAAGAAAAATATGATAATTCTTGTAAAATTGAGTAGGTTAATAATCCTGAGTTTGAGATTAAAATGCTAAGCGTAGCAATTAAAGTTAATATTGTGTGTTCAAAGGCTTAAGTGGCTATATATATGCATGTTAGCACAAAACCCTAGGCATCTCTTTCATGCTACGTGACTTGTTGAGGGTGGCTGACCAAAATACTGTCCCATTGGCCTTCTTCACCTTTTCTTGGGCAAGTTGGAACCTTTTGCATTGATCCTTCTCTTTTCTTCTTATAAACACTTGAGAGCTATCATTGTGAGGGTGCATTTCCTGAGTCTTTTGCCACTGTTTGAAGTCAGTTTGAGTGCTGAGTTTGAAGTTTGGGTTGAGAACCACCTTATTCTTGGCTTGCGAAGCTTCAAGAAGCTTCCTTTGGGTTGTCAGGAAAGGAAGCTTGTGAGGAGCCATTGGTGAGCTCCAAGAGCACTCCTTCCTCTGTTTTCAAGCTTGGGTAAGTGGTTGAACCTTTGAACTTGAGTTTAAGTGGTTAAAAATGGAACCTTGATGCATGTAACAAGATAAGATGAAAACCTAACGTTGGGTAATGCTTAACACACTTAGAAATGCATGTGTAAGCTTCTGTAATCGGTAAAAGTTGGACCTTTGGTTTGGATTTTCGCGAAATGCAGAATCTGGGTTCTGTCGCGAAATATCCGGATATTTTGTTGTGAATATCCAGATATTGATATCCGGATATGGGGATCTGAATATCCGGATATGGATATCTGGATATTGGAAGATAGATATCTGGATATTGATATCCAGATATGCCCCCGACGAATATCCAGATATTCTGGGATTTCGAAGAACAGTAGCTGCACTGTTCATGCAGTGGGCTATTGGGGATTTGTGGACCCTAGATTGTTGAAGTTGAACTTCTGTTTTAATTGAACTAAGTCAGAATCAAATGATTAAGGGCTTATGGCTTTGTATGAAGCCTTAAGACGTAAAACGTGAAAGAAAAGGCGTTGTCTTTTGTTGAATGCTTGTAGAGTATGATTTTGATATATTATTGGTCCATAACAGATTGTGATACTGCTGTGTTTGGACTTTGAGATTGTGTGGACTCTTGGCTGGGATAGCTAGCTTGCAAGGTAAGCTTTCGTGTCCTCGGTTTAGCCATGTTGTGGTTCCACCATGTCCCATGGGGGTATGGTTATATGCATGTTGTGTTACATGCTTTGGATATTTTGAAATGCTATTGAGCTGTTATATGCTAGTGCCTTTATGATATACATGTGGTGTTCCACCTATACGGTAAGCCTGAGTATGTGGTACATACAATATGGTGAGGCTGTGGGTGAGGTGCAAGCGGTGTTCCTTGTACTACATGTAGCTAATAGACGTATTCCTGCATTTCTCTGGCCAGTAGAATAGTTTAAACACACATGGCATGAATATCTGTTGTACTGCATAGTTTTGAGAACTTATATTGAATTACTGCTTTTAGAACTTATATTGCACCTGTAAGTGAGCTTGGGGTGGAAGATCCTTGAGGACCCCTTGCCTTACTGAGATTTCTGTTTAGAGATCTCACCCCACGTTTGGGGCACCATTTCAGGTTCAGGTAATGCGGGGGTTGAGACCTCCACCGGCAGGAGGCCGGAGCTTAGCTGATTATTTGCTGTTATGATGATTATGTTGGATGCTGAATCCTGTTTACTGTCTTATGCTCTTAGCTTCAGTTTATGGATTATTATGTTGAGACTTTGTTGGTTATGTTGTTGATTTGGTGAGCATGAGGATTGTCCATACCACACAGACTTGATTATTGTCTTGCTTTATTAGGAGTTGTAATAATGTATCAGGATATTGTCCGGACTACGTGTTGTAGATCCGTGATTTTAGATACTCACTTTATCTATATTATGAGGTATTTCAGTTAGATATTTATTTGCAATTTACATACATGCGATATTTTATGAAAATGATTCAGTAATCAACTCTACTAAGTATAATGACGTCATAATTGAAAAGAAAAAGATATTCCGCATTTTTAATTAAGCGCAGCTTAATACGATGATATGTTAACAAACCGGGTATACACAGGGTGTTACAGCTTACGCTTTCCTAGATCACGTTCAAAAATTTTATTTTTGACTATAATAATGTCGTCAGTGTGTTCAATTCTGCGACACTTGGAAGGAGGTTGCTCATAAGAAGGTGCATCACTTTCAGAAATTATGTTCGGAGGAGCATCACTTTCGGAGGCTACTTTCTTTTTAAAGAACACATCTATACTTTTCTGTTTATCCTTGCCCTTGCCCATACTTTTTTAACCTACATGTCAATTTGTATGCAGCACATATTTGACAATTTGACAATTAAATCAACACATATTTGACAATTAAAAATAATGATAAGAAAAAAGAAATCTATTATTTTGGTATAAATGGTTCGCAGGTGGACCAGAGGCAGAGAGTGATAAATATAATTATATAATATTTAACATTGTAAAAATTAAAAAATGATGATGAACCATATGCATTCAGCCCACGGCCCATGAACAATAATAAATAATAATAAAACAAATTGAACCCTGTCAATTGGCTAGCCGAATATTTATATGCACAAAGAAGGCCAATATTTTGAATTTGTTTTGAACAATCACTCATTAGAAGTCTATTATTTATATGCATTCAGCCCACGGCCCATGAACAATCACTCATTAGAAGTTCATGAATTTGTTTTGAATTTCAACAATTTTTCCGGTGAAAAACGTATACAAATTAAATTCATTGATTCATGGCCACATACTAACAAAAATATTAATTGGTGAGACCGTAGAATTGCTCCCCTGAAATATGATTTGACATGTAGGTGCAAGTAGGATAACAATAATAAATAATAATAAAACAAACAGATATAAGCCTTTTTATTTATTTTTCACATGGCTAGGTGAAGTAGTCTGCTATCTATCTTCTAGCCGTATGCAGTGAAATGTATTCTCATAAATTAGAATAACTTTGATATTTTTATTTTATTTTATTTGTCATTATATTATCCATTTATCCCATCTTAAAATAATAATAAAAAGGCTGAATAAACAAGACAAGATGAAATGATATCTATCTTTATCCACCATATAATCAACTTAAACAACTTCATTTGTCAGAATGGATAAAAGTAAAATCTAAGACTGAGATGGTTGCAACTTCCAAGCTTTGGGTTCGAGGAGGTTACCGCAAAATGGAAAGGTTGAGGCGTGCCACTGAGTCAAAGTCACTCGCTAGTTAGAGGCGTGCACGGTGGGCGAAATCCAGGTGGTGGCGAATGGCGTCGGACTCGGAGGTCTTCAGCCATGGCGAACGGCGCGAGGGTTATACATCTGCTCTGCTCTCTTCTTGAGTCTTTTTGAGAGAAGGATGTTGTTGATGATAGAAGAGTTTTGAGTCATTGGGGTGCCTCCGAGAGTATATAGATGTTAGTTTGACTATCCATTTTAATGTATGCCTCTGAAGCTCTTTTTCCCCTGTACCATTTTGATTGTCCATTTTGGTGATTACTTGATCCATGTACAAAGACCTATCTTTGTTTCACTTTCCTCTTCCCTCTGCACTACTTTATGCTCTCTTATGTTCCTTTTTCTTATATCTTCTTTTTTTATTGAATAAAAACAAAACTTGTTGCATAAAATTGGTATTCACAAAGGGTACCGTGAGGATGGATGTAGTTCATCTTGTCTGAGACAAGAGATAGGGCCTAATTGCAATTTTAGCCTGGGCTGAATCAAAATTAATTATAAAATTATATATAATATTTTTTTTTTTTGAAGATCAGCTAGGGCCCAGGCCCCACCTAGCAGTAACGTGGCTACGCCACTGATTTGATCCATATGTAGGATTAGAGAATAATATAAACCATTAAAAAGGCCTTCACCCAACACCTTAAGGTTTTGGGTTGAATTGGTTCTTAACATGGTATCAAAGCTTCAATGACCACAAGGTCACGAGTTTGATCCTCACCGCCCCCCCCCCCCCCCACTTTCGAGTGGAATTAAAATAAGTACAAGGTAAAACCGAAAACATTGGGCTTGTGCAATATCCACACTTCAAGCCCGAAGGGCTCTTGTGTGAGGGGGTGTATTAGAGAATAATATAAACCATTAAAAAAGCCCTCACCCAACACCTTAAGATTTTGGGTTGAATTGGTTCTTAACGTATAGATACCCCCATGCTTTCATGTAATTATTGGTTTTTTAGTCTAAAATTTTCTATATCTTCAGAAGTGAGATTATTGTATTACATCGTGACAAGATGGCACTAGAAGCAAACTTTGCTAAAGAGAGACTTGATGGCTTAATGAAAGAATTCGAACAACAGGCAATCACTAGTCTGTAACATTAAATGTTTTCTCCCTCTATGTCTGTGTTGTATTGTACTAATATATGGATTTTTGGATAACATTTTAGAAAGATGAAGCAAAAGACATTTTAGCAAGAAATGTAGAGTTTTCTCAGCTAGTTGTTGACTACCAACAGAAATTGCGTGAAAGCTCTGAGTTATTGAATGCTGCTGAGGAGCTGTCTCGGAAACTTTCCATGGAGGTTAAGATTTTATTCCAGTTAAATATCCAATTTTTTAAAATTTTATACACTTTTGTATTGAGATGTACCTATTTTTTAATGAACTCATTTCTTATCTTTATTTCAGATGTCTGTTTTAAAGCACGAAAAGGAAGTGATATCAAAGGCTGAAAAGAGAGCATCTGATGAGGTTCGCAGTTTATCTGAAAGAGTGCAACGCTTGCAGGTCAGGATTTTTTTATGTTTTTTTTATGTTCTATAAATTATGTATATTATAACACTTAATGCTGCAGGCTAGTTTGGCTACCATACAGAGTGCTGAGGAATGAATGGACTTTCAATGTTAGATGGACTTTCATCATTTTCCATGATCCAATCATCATTAGAAGAAATATCATCAACATTATTCTCGTTCATTTCTCTAGCCACCTTCTTCTTGGCCAATCTTGAAATAAGCATCACTAAAACAACATCATTCATAGTCATTTGTTTCAAACGATTTCTTATTTTTGTATGGACCTAAGCAAATATAAAAATAATTAATACAAAAGTCATTCTTGAAATGAAGTATAATTCATATTTCATATTCATGAAATTTACCATCTTAAAGGTACTTCAATTACACTCTCAACCGGAGGAACTGCATGTCAAGCTCAAAACATGAGCAAAAATTTTTGGAGCTCTGGACGTGGAGCCGTCAAAACGGGCCAGCTCGGCCCATTTAGCCCTAGCCCAAGTGGGTTAGGGCTAAAAAGCCCGCAGGGCCAAAAAGCCCACAATGATATAGATCCACGCGGGCCACAACTCTATGGGTTAGGGCTAACCCGCGGGCCTTCTAAAAAAATATGTACTTTTTAAAAAAAATATTTATAATAAAATGGTGCATAGAAATTATTAGAAAAAATAAAAATAAATAAATTTTAGAAAATTGTCACTTTTTAAAAAAATTATTACATAGAAATTTTTTCGTAAAAAGTTTTGACAGAAAATGTTATTGTAAAAAAATTGACAAAAAAAAAATTCGTCAAAATTCTTTACAGAATCTAAATTCCGTAAATATTTTTGACGAAAAAATTTTCGTCAAAATTTTTTACGAAAAAATTTCCGTCGAAATTTTTGACGAAAAAAGTTTTTGTTGAAATTTTTGACGAAAAAAGTTTTTGTTGACATTTTTGACGAAAAAATTTTTGTCGACATTTTTGACGAAAAAAATTTTCGTCGAAATTTTTCACACAAAAATTTACGTCGAAATTTTTGATGAAAAAAGTTTTTGTCGAAATTTTTGACGAAAAATATTTTTGACAATTTTCGATAAAAGATATTTCTTTCAAGATTTTAAACGGAACACATTTTTGTTAAAAATTTCCCACGAAAATTATTTCTGTAAAAAACTTTGACGAAAATATTTATGTAAAAAATTTCAACGAAAAAAAAATATTTTGTCAAAAATCTTTACGAAATCTAAATTCCGTCGAAAGTTTCATAGATACATTTCCCTCAAAAATTTTGAAAACAAATATTTCCGTTGTAATTTTCATTGGGTCACATTTTCATCGAAGATTTTGGACGGAAAATATTTGTCAAAATTTTTGAAGGAATTCTTTTTTCTGTCAAAACTTTTGATGAAATTTTTTCGTTGTAAATTAGGTTGAATATTGTAGCCCGCGGGCCAGCCCCAATCTAACCCTATAATAAGAGGGCATTAAAAGGATGGGCTTAAAATGACCCCATTACATAGAGGGCTAAAATTTTATAGGGCTTGAGCCCTTTTTGACAGCTCTATCTGGATGTTCATCCCCGTACGACTCCTACTATTTTGTTGGAGTTTTTTTTCTTAATTGCAATCTTGTCTATTGGATTACCAAAAATCTTCCTTTAATCAATCAAAGAAGTTCTTGAATAAATACAAGTTCTGATTTTTTCCCCCTTGGAATAACATGATGGTGAACCTGTATCTTCTCCAAATCCTCTAACATTAAATCAATGCAATGAGCTGCACAAGGTGTCCAATACAATTTCTTTCTTTTCTCCTTGAACATCTCTCCTGCAGCTTTGTAATGTGCTGCATTGTCAGTCACCACTTGAATAACATTTTCTTTACCAACCTCTTCAATAACATCATAAACCATCTTAAAAATTTTATCAGCAGTTTTGGATATGTTAGATACATCAATAAACTGAAGGAAAATAGTTCCCTTAGGGTTGTTCCCTAAGAAATTTATTATAGTCCTCCTCCTTTATTCAGTCCACCCATATGTCATTATTGAGCATCCAAATTTCTTCCAATAAGCTTTATGTTCTTCAATATTTCGCATTGTTAAATCATATTTTTTCTTCAAATATTCAACTCTGATCTCATGGTAGGATAGTGGCTTGAAGCCCGAACCATGTTTTGATACTGATTCAAACATCTTATAGAATTCATCCATCCTTGCCACATTGAATAGAATGACATTATTGTAGAAGAAAGAGGCAATGTCTTCACATGTTTTCTCTCTCAAATTCTTCTTAAAGATGCTATTTTTTGTAGCTTGAGTGCTCACTCTCTTTTTTTTTAGAATATTATTATTTTGATCATCATCTTCACTCTGTTTTCTTTTTCCAACAAGCTCATCAGTATCATTATCTTGTGTGAATGTGATTGATTTCTTCATTAGTTTCTCTTGTTAAGAAGATAAATTCCAAAACAATAGTTTTTTCACTTCATCGAGAATAGAGTTACAAGCCCCCACATCCTTTTGTGTTCTCGCCAAATAGTGCTTGAATCGGTAAACATCTCCGGTTACTATCTTCTTACAATAATTGCATTGAATTTTTCTCCCACTTCCATCAACTTCAACACCATGCTTCATTCCCATATCACTCCTACTTGCAGCAGCATTTTTCATTTTAATTCCTCTACTAGAGGCAGCAACAGCATCATTAATGGCACTAGCACTATAAGCCATTTTCCAATTGCCAAACCACCATAATCTAATATGGACAGAACAGAAATATAGAGCAAAAACAAAAAATAATGATTGTGTTAGGAAAAAATAAAAGAGAACGAAACCGTAGATGAAAAACAAAAAAGGAATTTAACAAAAACAAACCTCTTCTTTTTTTAGAGCATCCAACATCAAAGAAAAAAAAGGGAATTCAACAGCAAAAATAATAAAAATAAAATAGCACAGCACAATAAATAATTGCAGAAAAAAAAAAGAGAATAATGAATAGAAGAACAATGAATAACAATACGGAAAAAAATAACAATAAACACGGCAGTAATAGTGCAGGTGCAGAGAACAGAATAACAGAGAATAAAAAACACATATAATGATATAACAATAGAGAAAGAAAAATAACAGCACAATGAATATAAAAAAATAAGAAAAGAAGAAAACAGAGGACTGGGGAAGAAAAGAACCAGCAGGATTGAAGAAGAAAAGAACCAGTAGATAAGCGCAAAGGATAGGGGAAGAACCAGCAACACCCTGTCCCTCTCCAGTCAGTGTCGCACACCCAGATGAAGATTGGAGATGTTTGTGGCTGATTAGGGCTTTCTAGGGTTTGTATTGGGTCTATTCCAAGGTAGAATGGGCTTCTGGGTTTTCTTATTTAGGTTAATTTTTTAGTAAGGTCAAACGGGTTAAACAGGTTTTCAAGTCAGGTCAAATAATTTAGCAAAATCGGCGATCTCACGCAATCCCACTATCTTCCCCGGTGATCTCACTCGATCTTATGCAATTGTGATCCAGCAACCGATTTGGATCATTTACTGTGAAAAATCGCAAAATCATGATTTTGACTACCTTGGGCAGAAGTGTCGGGGTTCTGATTTGCTATCATTAAGGATGAGCAGTAGCTCTGCTCTCTCATCTCTCTCTCTCTCTCTGAAAACTCAACCCATGTCAGTGTTTCTTACTAGGGGATGTCTTTTTAGAATTCAGCATGCTTATCTATCTTTCAGGGTGTTTATTTTTATCCTGTTTTAATTAAGAAATACAAAATTGCAACCTTGTTTTCATTTTGTTTCCGATAACCTTGAAATTATGAAAACTAGGAAATGTTGTTTTCACCATATCCTGTGCAATAAATTGAAATCACTTGAAAATAGGATACAGAAATGAAAACAGGGTGACTTTTTATAATTATAAATGAAAACATATCTACTGGAAATGAAAATAGAAAAAAAAAAAAAAAACCAAACATCCCCTTAATTGTTTCCATTGATTCTTTCTTTTTTAACTTTTATTTCTGATGTTTAGATAGTTAATTTTTGGAGATGTGAATATTTTTTGTTTTATGATCATTTTTACAAACTGTTGGAAACTTGGAGATAACACATTTCATACTCTGCTAATTTTATTTTATTTTTTTCATTCTTTCTAATGTTAGATGTTTTTAATGGCACGGGTTATTCTCCAGTCTGAAACAATTAATTCAGGAGTTGACGAAAACATCTAAAGCACTGGCCTTGCTCCATGAGGAGGCATCTGAATTACGTAAACTAGCTGATGCTCAGAAAATTGAAAATGTAAAATTTCATAATCATTCCATATTTACATTTACTATTTGTTTCTTTTTTGATACTTATACTATAGTTCGTTTATTGTTTCTGCCTTCTTATATATTTTTGTTCAAAAATCCTGAGGTATTTATTGGAGCCCCTTATAATATCTTAGTTGGTTTGTGTAAAGAACCTTGAGGTCACCACCCAAAAGCTAGCTCAAAGGGTGGAGTGCCCAAGGCCTTATAAACTCCACATTAGTTGCACATACAACCAATGTGGGACTATATATCTCAACATGCCCCCTCACACAAGAGCCCATTGGGCTTGAAGAGTGGACAATGCAACAGGCACAATCTACCTGTACTAAGAAACGCCACAAGAGAAAGTGGGGGACGGCGAGGCTCTGATACCATGTAAAGAACCTTGAGGTCACCACCCTAAAAGCTAGCTCAAATGGTGGGAGTGCCCAAGGCCTTATAAACTCCACATTAGTTGCACATACAACCAATGTGGGACTATATATTGGTTTACTCTATTTTGATGGCTTATCATAAGATTAATATACCTTACCTTTGGCTGCTTTGCGTCATGCAATTTTAAAAGAAATAGCAAGTCTAAATCTTAGTTTATAATATAAACCATTAAAGAGGCCCTCATTTAACAGCTTAAGCTTTTGGGTTGAATTGGTTCTTTACATGGTATCAGAGCCTCGTGTCCTGGGTTCGATTCTCAGACATACTGACCGCGTGTCTTTTGAAGAATGAGTCGGCGACTCATGGGCTGTGATTGGAGAATGAATGTGGGAAAGGAGATGAGAAATGTGTTTCTCCGGGTGTTTGGATCATATTCCATGTTTCCAACCTAACCCCCAAATTCAGGCATACATACCTGACTTATTAAATCTTTTGAACTACCCAACCTGTTCCGCCCTGTGTCCTTGGACCAAAATGAGCTGGGGCAATTTGGCTTGGGGTTAATAAGCCTTTTAGTATAAACACCTAATTACACTAGGCCATCCCTTT